GGGTTTAGGGTTTAAGGTTTAGGGTTTAGGGTTAAGTTCTTAGGGTTTTGGGTTTAAGGGTTTAGGGTTTATGGATTTGGGTTTAGGGTTTAAGGTTTAGGGCTTGAGGTTTATGATTTAGGGTTTAGAGTTTAGGGTTTAGGGTTTAGGTATTAGGTTTAGGGTTTAGGGTTTAGGGTTTAGGGTTTAGGGTTCGGAGTTTAGAGTTTAGGGTTTTGGGTTTAGATTTAGGGTTTAGGGTTGAAGGTTTATGATCTAGGATTTATAGTTTGGGGTTTTTTTTTGTTTCATTGAACGACCCTTGGGGGGATCAGGGTCTAAGCAACACCTCCATGCCTTATCATATATAAAAATTAAAATATACACGGAGGGGGACAAATACCTTACCTCCTATCCTAAGGTGGGTAAGGAGTCAACCGACCTACTAAGTTTAGTCTACTCCACCCTATAAAATAAGAAGTAAAATTAAACTAAGCACCTAGAAAGCACTCCTCTGTTAATACATAGTACTCTGAATAGAGTACATCTCATGAAATAATTAGTGCATTGTTAGTATCAAATTGATGATTAATCGTGCCCATAAGAGAAACTATGTCCTTCAATTAAAGAAGAACATTGCCTATCAGTGATCTTTGATATTACTTGTTTGTTTAAAGTAACCTCTGCTAATTAAGGTGGTTGCTTTATCCCATTTTCTCCAATAGATAACTCCATTTGACTGTCTGAGTTAATTGATGAGGAGTGTAGTAATGTTGTTCAATATCTTGTTGGTGACTATGTTTGGCCAGCAAATCTGCAGTACTATTTGCCTCCCTGTAAATATGCAAACACTGAAAAAACAAACATTGGTTAGCAAGAATTTGTATTTCCTGTATAAACCTGTGCATTCTCCAAGGGATAGAAACCTGCAATAGCCACTTAGTTAATAATTCAGAATCAACTTCTAACAAGATATTGGTATAACCATGTTGTATGCACCAATTTAATCCATCACATGCAGCCTGCACCTCAGCTTGATTATTAGTTCCTTCACCAAGAAGTACAGAAAAAGCATTTATGATAACTCCTTGATCATCTCTCAGAATGCCTCCTCCTCCAATTTTCCCAGGATTGTGTAAAGCACTAGCATCCGTATTCAACTTATATTTATTAAGAGGAGTCTTCCACATAACTAATATAATTCTTATCTCCTGATTACATCTTTCAATGCAGTCCACCACTTCTGGCCAGATTATAGGCAACTGAAGGTAAGGAAAAGCAGATTTAAGAAGTAAAAGCATGTCTTTGAGAATGAAATATTTAACTTTGAGGATACTGGATGCTTTTCCTCGATACTTGGCGGAACATCTATTTTTCCATAAATTCCAGCATATAATTATAGGAAGATTTTTTATAATTGTCGCATGTGCTACATTTTTCCCTGTAATATCATTCCAGCTCAGTAGCTGATTAAGCAGTGCAGTTTGCTGAAACTTGAGCCCCATGCTACCTGCAAAAAAATCTCCAGATATGACTTGCAAAATGTCCTTGAATGAAGATGTGATCCACTTCATCCCATCCCTGTTTAAGACAACAGAAACATTTCATCGGTTCCACTCCAAAAGTTGCTAATATTTTATTGGTTGGAATTTTATAGCGTAATGCTCTCCATAGCAGAAAAGACATCTTGAAAGGTATTTGTTTTTGCCAAATTTGAGAATTAATGATTTTATTATCCTTCTTAATTCTGCAAATTTCCCAAGTTGTTGTGCAACTGAACTTTCCAGCTTCAGTCTGCTTCCAAACTGCACTATCTTTAATTCCCTGCACAAACTGAAATTTAGTATTTAAAATAGAAGGAATCATGAGAGGTGGAATCTGTTGCCTCAGCTTTCTTTCATTCCATTTTCCATCTACTAGAAAATGTTCAACAGTAGCATTATTTAGACTTGATACATAAGAGGTATAATTAGCAAGTGCACCCCCTACTAGCCAATCATCCCACCAAAATGAGCAGCTTCCAGAGTTGATTTGCCAGTCTATATACTCTTCTACTTTAATCTTGTGCTTCATCATGTATTTCCTCATCAAAGACTGTCCAGTATCCACCTTTTTAGCAACTGGATGAGCTCTTTGACAATATTTGGATTTAAGAAATTGACTCCATAAGGATGCTTTAGACCTGAAACTCCACCATTGTTTGTACTGTAAGGAGGTGCGAATATCTGATAGTCTTATGATCCCTAACCCTTCTTCATTATATGGTAAACACATGGTATCTAGAGAGGCCCAATGATATTTCCTTTTATCCAGATCCTTACCCCAGAAAAAATCAGCAATAATGGCCTCAATGTATTTAATAGTAGTATTGGGAGGAGAAATTGCAGCCATAATATGTAGAGGTATAGATTGCAAGGCTTGCTTGATCAATGTAATTCTGCCCCCAAAACTAAGTATTCTGGCCTGCCACCCACAAACATTTTTGGAGATCTTCTCAACTAAGTAAGAGTAATAATTAATCCTTTTTCTACCAATCTAAAGGGGACAACCTAGATAAGTAATAGGACTGTTTTTCTATGAGAAATTAGTTACTTCCTGAATGGTATTGATAATATCTTGAGGGGTATTGTCTGGGATCATAAAATGACTCTTTTCTTTGTTAATAAGCTGGCCAGAAGTATGTTCATACTCCCCTAACCTGTCCATAATGAGATTCAAAGAATGTCTGTTAGTAGCAGCAAAGATAATAACATCATCTGCAAAACTTAAGTGATTGATCTAAGGTCCTTTAGGTTCCATAAAAAAGCCTTTATAACTTGGAATCTGATGCAAAGAATTAAGCAATCTTGATAATACCTCTGCTCCAAAAATAAATAGGGCGGGGGACAATGGGTCACCTTGCTTAAGTCCTCTAGTGGAGTGAAAGAAACCATGTCTATGACCATTTATGATAATAGAATACCAATTTTTACTCATACCATACTAAGTCAATAAGTTACTCCCCAAAACCAAATATCCTTAGTACCAAACATATGAATGACCAAGACACTCTATCATATGCCTTGGCCATATCAAGTTTGATAACAACATTATTTCCAATCTGAGGTTTTTTAATACCATGAGTAATCTCCTGAGCAAGAATTATACTTTCTGTAATGCTTCTACCTCGAACAAAGCCTGACTGATTATCCGATAATAATAAGGGAAAAACAGTAGCCAGTCTCATGCTCAATAATTTGGAAATTATCTTATTAGTAAAATTACTAAGGCTGATAGGTAGGATATCTCTGAATCTGATAGGCTGCTTAGTTTTAGGAAGCAAAACCAAACATGCATGAATCAAGAACTTAGGCATAGTGTTACCACAAAAGAAAGATTGTACAGCTGCCAGCAAATCTTGTTTAATGATAATCCAACAAGCTTGATAAAATTTACCCCCTATACCATCAGGACCTGCTGCTGAATCTCGATTCATAGTAAACACTACTTGTCTGAGTTCCTCCATAGTAGGCATTACTTGCATCATCTCATTCTGTCCAGTGAATATTTGTTGATAATAATCACAAGCTGTCTGAGCTATTTGTTCCTCACCTTGCACCCACACCTCATTTTCAGTACAAATCTTATGCAGAAATAACCTCTTTCTTCTACCTCTCACAAAGCATGAAAGTATTTGGTATTGACGTCTCCATCCTTAAACCATTGAAGTTGTGTATTTTGTTTAAGGATAGATTCCTCCATTTTCAAATACCTAATGTAAGTTGCATTCCTCTGATGTAAAGTTTACTTGAAAGCTTCAGTGTTGTTAGTCATAAGTTCCTCCTCAGATTTCCTGAAATTATCTTCAAACTCCCTTACCTTAGTAAAGATATCTCCATATTCTTGTTTAGACCAATTACTAAGTGTGGCTGAAACTCTTTTTATTTTCTGATGTAATCTCCACATTGGATTACCAGACACTTCTTTTTCCCAGCATTGTTGAACTATTTTCATAAAGGTGACATTTTCAACCCAAAAACGTAAGAACTTGAAATATTTAATATGACTCTCATTACCCCTAATCATTTCCATCAACAGGGGAGTATGATCAGAACCAACAGATGATAAATTCTCAATAGTGGTTTGAGGCATAACCTCTAACCATTTATCATTAACCATAGCCCTGTCTAATCTCTTCCTAACTCTAGCTTCAGCATCCCTTTGATTACACCATGTGAATGGAAGTCGTGTGTATCCAATATCAGTCAATCCACATGCCTCTATCACTCCAATAAATTCAAAACTCATATGTATATTGTAAGGTATGCTCCCAAATTTCTCCTCTATAGATGTGATAACATTAAAATCACCAATTGTACACCATAGTATTTCCATATTAGCATAAAATAGTAGCTTGTCCCACAAAGGTCTCCTCATATAGTCCTTACATTTAGCATAAATAAAAGACATCATGAATTTATCCAGGATATCTGTATACTTAAATGTTACTGTGATGTGCTGTTCATGCTTTTCAAGAATATGTCGAGTAACTTCATTAGACCAAAACAACCAAATTTTCCCATTAGGATTACTGACTGCATGATCCATTTAGAGTTGAATTTTGACCATATCAATATGAGAATATCTGTAATGGTTCCAGGATAGCAATAATGGATAAATTGATGAAGTTTCTTGAGTGTTTGTAGTCTTTCCAAAGATCCTTTGGTGTTGATACTCCTAGCATTCTAACAAATGGCCTTAATCATTAATAGCCTTTTGATTTGGACCTAGTCATGGGCCTGCTAGAGGTGTCAGACATACTGGTGGTAGGTTGATTAGGATTGTGTCTAGTCTTTTTCCTTCCCCTTGGGGATAAACCCTGTTGTTCTGTCATTCTTTAAACATCTGGGCATTTATCCTGAAAGGTGGAACCAAACACTTGACATGTATGTTGCATGGTATACTCTGTATCCTCATTAGACTCATCTATAGATTGATTATCAAGATCTATCTCATCATAAGAGTTAATTGCCCCATAATCATTAGGAGTTAACTTACCCTTATTAATTATATTAGGAACCTGTTCATCAACATGTTGATTGGTGTCTAGTAAATTCTGATCTTTATGAGAGACATGTTCCTCATTTTGTTTACCAGTAACTGTACCATCTGAATCCTGGACAGTACTCTGTTGCAATCTCTTTTTTATAGCCTCTCTTTTCTTTTTACTCAATATGTCCCCAGGCTTGTTATTAAATCTGCTCTGATGTTGCCCTGTATCAATAACTTGTTGAGTTCCAATTTTTCTACTGATTTGTGATAAGAGTAGCAGGGGCTCTAGAGTCTCTACTATGGTTAAATTCCACTTCCTCATGTATAACATGAGTCATTCCCCCCCCCCCTTTGAAAACCCTTTCCTGCAGGTTAGTTTGTGTCTCCTGACCCTTCCCATCCAAACCTCTAACAGCTTCCTCAGCAATAACAACATTATCAATGGGTTTAGGGGATAGGAGCATTGAGTCAATACCTGTAACAACTTTCCCTTTAAGAACTTCCTTTCCTCACCTGTTGAAGGTGTAGGAATAATATCCACCTGTAACTGCTTGTTAGTGTTATCCTTTCCCATATTTGGTTTTGTATTTCTAATTTGCTCTCCTTGGTCTTTATGCTTTTGTACTACTGTCTGAGGTATGCTATCACTGTTGTTGCCTTTGTGTTTGTCCATGACCTCTAATCCAGGTGATGACTCCTGCACATCAAGATTAATATAGGTATTTTGTGTAGGAATAGTAATGATACATGCCTGTTTGGTGGACTGATCTACTTGTCCGTTGTTGCCTCTAGGAGCCTGCATTTGATTATTGTTCTTTCTCCTTTGAATTTGCCAATGATCCTCTTGCAGTTGCTTAATCTGTTCCTGATATCTTTGTTGGTTGTATTGCTGATTGTTATCCTCCTTCTGCTCAACTTCTTTGTGACCCTTAGGTTGTTGAGGATTTTTGTCTATATCTTTATTATTCTTGTTTCGCACATTTTCCATTTCCTTTTTCTTGTTATCCTCATCCCTTTGCCTTATGGTACAATCACTTTCCAAATGCCCTTAATGCTTATAGTAAAAACAATAATCAGGAATATTATCATATTCTATTTTCTGCCATCTACCATCTGTGATGTCCTCCCCTATATAACCCATCCAAATATAAGGAGGTGTCTTTTGAGTAATATCAACTTGTACCTTCACCCTAGCTTAACTACCCCTAGTCTTTTTAATAGATGCAGAATCTAAGTATAAAACTTTGCCAATAGGTCAAAGCCGACTAGAAACAAACTACTTATTATAACAATGCCAAGGTAATTCAGGCAGATAAATCCAAGTAGGGACTATAGGAGTTTCTTCAGCAGGTTTAAAATTAGGAGTCCACACTTGAATTCTCATGACCTGCCCAGCTATACTCATCTTTGCTTAGTCCAAACCATATTGTAGTCGAGCTCATTATCCAGGTCAATATACATATGTCTAGAATTAAAATGTGCAATCTTAACTCCACCAGATAATTGAGTCTTTAAAATGAAATTATTCCTAATAAGATCCACTTTCGGCATGGTGTTACTGAACTTCCCAATGAGAGTGTATTTACAAGCAGCTGCTAAGTCGCAAATGATCTCGTCTTTAACATACAGAACAGCAGGTAAACCTTGTTTAGTGGTAATTTCAGGTGCTATCAAGTGAATGTTAACTGCACATTTGGCCTGATTATGTCGAAGTCGATCAGCATATGTCTATACTACTGTGTAAGGAGCAGGCTCAGCTACTTGATCATTTTTCAGAGGATTGAGAGGCTGAAATTGAGAATGATCAGGTCTAGCAATATTTGGATTAGATTTAGGAACATGTCTATCAAAATTACTAGAAATCCTAGGAAAACTAGATTGGTACACCTGTTGTTGATCAATACGATTATTAGCCTTATTCTGCTTACCTTGAAACTACCTTAGCTTGTTAGGATTACCATATTCTTTAGTAACCCAAACTCTCGATTGATCATGCTCAATTCTATGGAACTCCTTACCAGAATTCTTAGAAACATTATATGCAGAGATCACAGTTGGACAAGATTTATCAGTTGGAAGTTTACCTGTGTCCTTGCCCTGTTTCTTGATGGAGTCTTCCATATGAGAAGAGCTAGATTAACCCAAATCTTGAACCTGTTGTTTTCCTTCCTTGTGTGGATATTGTGTCTGTGCTAAAAACTGCATATCCTCATCTTGTGGAAAATTTCCGATATTCATCGCCGGAGTTTTAGGAACACCAGAATTGTCTCATCCGATGATTCCACCATGGAAAGCGCTAGAAACTTTACTGAGATGTCCTCCATGACCAGGGGTATAATTCCCAGTAGCAAATTCAGTTTGAATCACCTCATCAGGTCTTCGATTATGATTGCGCCTCTGGGACGATTCACCAGTGTTCATCATCGTCGTCGCCCATGGATTAATCACAGATGGGATGGTAAAATATTGAGTTTTTTTACTATTATGTAGCTCTTGTGATGGTGATTCTTTGTCTCCAGCCCTTGTACCATGAATTTGACTTAAATCCATCGTGGAAAATATTATACGAGTCCCATCCAGCTCCTTTTCCTCCAAAGCAGTGTGGATCGCCTCTTCTCTCACCTGCGAGGAGTTGTAGGATGAATCTGAAGACGATTCTTGTATTGGTGGATGTAAATTTTGCTTATCCATCACTGTAGCATGATCCGGTGGCCTAAATCTAGCATCTGTCGGCGTACCAGTCATCTTGATGATGCAAATTCATGAACAATTAGCCGAGAGAGCTAATTCTTTGAAGAATTCTTGGAGAATTCTTAGATAGAGAAATTTTAGACAGAGAAAAAATTCATAAAATGAGGAGGCGATAGGGTTTAGTGATTAAGGGTATATGGTTTAGGGTTTAGAGTTTAGGGTTTAGGGTTTGGGGTTTATGATTAAGGGTATATGGTTTAGGGTTTAGGGTTTTGGTCTAGGGTTTAGGATTTAGGATTTAGGGTGTAGGGTTTATTGTTTAAGGTTTAGGGTTTAGAGTTTAGGGTTTAGGGTTTTGGGTTTAGGGTTTAGAGTTTAGGATTTGAGGTTTAGAGTTTAGGGTTTAGGGTTTAAAGTTTAAGATTAAGGGTTCAGGGTTTAGGGTTTAGGGTTTAGGGTTTTGGGTTGATGGTTTAGGGTTTAGGGTTTAGGGCTTAGGGTGTAAGGGTGTAAGGGTTTAGGGTTTAAGGGTTAAGGGTTTAGGCTTTAGGGTTAAGGGTTTAAGGTTTACAGTTTGGATTTATGGTTCAGAGTTTAAGGGTGTAGAGTTTTAGGTTTAGGGTTTAGGGTTTAAAGTTTAAGGTTTAGGGTGTAGGGTTTAGGATTAATAGTTTCGGGTTTAGGTTTTAAGGTTTAGGATTTAGGGTTTAGGGTTTATAGTTAAGGGTATAGGGTTTAGAGATTAGGGTTTAGGCTTAGGGTTTAAGGTTAGGATTTTGAGTT